AAAAAGGCATAACCGAGGGCTATAAGACTGGGTACTTCTGTGATATATTATAAATACCAGAGAAGGCCTGAGAGAATGTGACGGGGAGGTGGGGGGAGGGGAGGGGCTGGGGGCAAGTCTTTCCAAACACGCTTGTTAGACACGTCCGGCAAAACGAAAATGTATAGTGCAAAATTAAATTTCTTCAAGCAACTGTGAAGAGGGTAATAGAGAGTAGAAAGAAAATGATGGTGGCTGTGGAGCCATGTATTATGAGCTGAGCAGGCATGAGGGTGCCGGGTGGTGGGAGGGAAGGAAGGGAGGCTCCAAAGACATTTAACATTTATTTTTGTCTCTGTGTTAGCAAGGAGATCTTGGCCCTAACAGGTGGAACTTTTTTTCCCTCCCTGGAATGGAGCAGAAGTGGAAACGGAAGAAATCAAACTGAGCTTGGGTTAGGAAATGCATGCTGGGAAGCAAAAACAAAGAACAAACCAATGAGCCCCCAGATCTTCAGGACCCGATTTACAGAAATTATTCTGCCTCTGGTCCCAAGGGCTAGGAATAAAACATCCCCTTTCCCCACCCACTGCTCCTCCCCTGTACATGGAACTAACTCCCAGTGGTGTGGATTTTATATACTGGCATTATAAGCATTCATCCCCCCCAAAGAGATTAGGCACTGGTGGCTACCCCTCTTATACCTCAGTAGCCTGTTTTCCTTCTGTGAAGGTACAGTAGGTACACATGCACACCCACAAAGGTGTGTGCACACACACCACCCTCATTATTCTGACATGGGGTCCTTTTTATGGCAGTAGACAGAAGCTGGGGTCAAAGCTCACAGTTGAAAAAAATCGTATAAACGGTCCCCAACCAAGAACATATCAACCTTCCCTCATGACCACAGAGAGGGAGCCCTGTTTTGAAAGAGTATCTTGTTTGGGATATTTTTGAAGCAACAGCCTTGATTTCACTCTCATTTTGGATACCTGTTTCTCGAGGACTTACAAGCAAATACAGAACCCCTGAAGAATACAGTACTATATTGGTAAGATGCACATAAAGTTAATTGCAGCTTAGTTATCCCCCTTCTGGGATCTGTTAGAGGAACCAAGAGAGGAGATTTAATTGTTAAAAACAAGAAACCCTGAAGCCTCAGGCATTAGTCATGAGACACATAGGAACAGATTTTGCTTCCTTTGACATATTTCTGTTGTCCCATTTCAAATGCTTCCAAAGATCCTCAAAGGAAAAACAAAAGCAAAAAACAAAATAAACAAACAAGCAAAAAACCCCAGGCCACCACAAAGGCAGCAAAGTACACTCAGGCCGGGCCCTCCAGTTCCAAATTAAGCATCACCCATATTTCCCAAAATGCAACCTGGACACTCAGAACTAGCTATCCTCCTGCACCAACTTCTGCCACTTGTAGAAAATTTGAGGGAAGGTTTTCATGAATTTGTCTCAGCCAGGTACTACTTACTGAATTTTCACTTGGACAATATTCTGGGTGTAAGGTTTCAGCCATATGTTGACCAGAGGTCTTTTGCTTTCTTGTTTTTGAAGGGAGAAAGCAGATTGATTTGTGTACTCTGATGGGTTATATGCTCCTTACCTTTGCCCTTTTGAGGAGATAAAAGTAGTTCCTCCTTTCACATTATAAAGTGGCTTCCAGAGAGGAAATCACTCAGAATTATTAAAACCAACCACTGAGGCTTGCACTGGCAATCTGTTTCTTTTGGGCTTTCCCATGGGATGCAGGAGTGGAGGTTGCAGGCAGGATGTTCTGAATGCATGGGTGAGCCCCCAACCCCAACCATTTGTTTTCCCTTGGATACAAATAGACATGGATCATTTGGAAGCTTATCCCAAATTCAAGTCCTCAAATAAGCTCTTCTCTGATTTCAAAGATTTTTCCAAAACGAAAACCAAAAAGAAAACCTAGGAATCCATTCTGCTCATCAGGCATGAGGTTGACTGTCTTTTTACCCTGTTATCATCAGGCAATCAAAGATGGGAGAGGGTAGAGGAGGCGCACGTGGGGAGGTGATGGCAGGGAGAGAGGACTGGCAGAAGGGCTTGTGAAGGAATTTGGAAAAGAACCGGGAAATGGCCAGCATGAAGCTCATTTTGGGGTCCCCAATATTTTTATAAAAATGCAGCTTTATCATGGAATCCAAACATTCTCTCTCTCTCTTTTTCTGGACAAAATGCTCATCACCATGAGCCATGAAGCTGGGCCAGTGAGTTGACAGTGGGACAGGAGGCCAGGAGCAAGGAGCAGCATTATGATGTCAGGTCTCCACATCCCTGACTGTCGTGTGGAGGAGAAAGAGGCGAAACTTGAAGTAAAGGAAGTCGCCAGTGGCTTAGAAACACATCTTCTACACAGCCAACTCTGGACCCTGGATAGAGTGCTCAAGAGGACAGCCTATGACACACTATGCCAGGCTTGCTCTTTCAAATTTGTGATCCCTTGGACTGTTAGGAGGTAATGTCATAAACTGTGAAAGGGATTTCGTGTTTCAAATATCCATTACATCATCCTAGATAACCAGTCCTCTTGGGAGCAAAATATATATTGAGGTTATTTCTTGGAAAACCTGCTCTCCACCCCCCCCACCCCCCCAAGGCTCCAAGAGACCATCTTTGCCATTTGAGAAAGGACAGATGATTTCTCACAAACATATTTCCAAAATGTCCAAGGGTTGCCCAGCCCACGCTGTGGACTGGTTCTCCTCCACAGGTGTCCATTGGGGCTAGAGAAGAACAAGTTTAAAGCCACGCGCTTAGCACCCACCAAATTTCAGGCCAATTCCCACAGTCAACAAAGGACTCTGAAGCAAGCAAGCACCGTCATGGCATCCCAGTGCACCCTGCTCCAATAGAGGACAGGAGCAGATCACAAAGGACCTCACTGATACAAAAGAGAAATCACCAAACATTTCAGACATCAAAGAGGACCAAGAAGCCTTTGTTCTGCCACATTCAAATGAAACCACAGATGACGAGAGGGACAAATAGCAATGATTACTCTTTTTCGTATTTTTTCTTTTTCTTTCTTTTTTTTTTCCTTTTCTTTTTAAATAGAGCCTTGCGTTGGTCAGTACAAAATTTAAATCAAGTACTATAAACCTTCATAATAACATTTTGAGAGCAAGAGCAGCCCCAGCCTGGGAGAGAACACCTGTGAATCGTGGCAGCCATGGCTTAATGCCATCCCTGGCGTGTGCGTGCATTCATGCTGGAGGCTGCTGCAGAAGGGAAAAAAAGACAAAGCAACAGAATTTGGGTAGTCTAAAGTTTCATCTAGTGCACTGACTGGAGGCGCTACAGTTCAATACAACTGAGGTTCAAGGTCCCTCACACATCCTTCATCCAAAAAGGATGCACCACACATTCAAATAAAATCCCATGGTGAGCCCTGATGGACTGGCTGCAAAATGCACTCAAATGTAGTAGAGATGAGATTGTCAGCAAGCAGTGCTCCAGTAAATAAGTCATGTCCACTTTTAAATCTTTGGAATAAAACAGATTTCTTTTTTCTTTAATACCCTCCAACTAACATATACATAATTGCTTCTAGCAAATGGGTGTGTGTGTGTGTGTGTGTGTGTGTGTGTGTGTGTGTGTATGTGTGTGTTTGTGTGTTTAGGGTGGTTTCTTTTCTTTTGTATTATTTATTTTTGGTCTAAATTGAAAACAGAAAAAGGAAGTAAAAGAAAAAAATTCTAAAGGCCAGACCTCGAAATGCTCCAAGTGTCCAACTGGAAGCTATAGCATTTGTGACAAGGAGGTCCCTTCACCCTCAGACGAGTAGATTCAACATTTCAGTGAAACAAAAGTTGCAGGAAGCTGAGAACCCAAGTGCCAAGGACTTTGAAGGTCGCTGTCATTATGTGTTTGTGTTGCTTATATTATTATTATTATTCATTATTTCCTTTAAAAGACTTCAGTTTTGCGTCCCAAATGTGTATGGGGTCGCATTTTAACAGTCAATGAGTCACACAGTCAAAGGATGGCGGGAGGGAGCCAGCTGGTATGAAGGAGCAGCAACCATGAGCGGACCAAATGCCATTTTTGTTTGTTAGACGTGTCTTGAAGGGATGGTCCCAGAATATACAAAATATACAATCTGCCCTAATAACCACCCCGCTTACTTGCATAGGACATTTAATGGTCCTAAAGACAGTCTTTGGAGTTTAGGCCAGTGCCAGCTAGCTAAGAATTTGGGAAGATAAAAACCAACATTGGATGTATGTGTGTAAAATGCAAGTAAGCAATATAATTCCCCTTAGAGTCAGCTTTCAGGGTAAATATGAGGCCTCCGTTGATCCTGGGTGCTTTCGGTCACAAGCCATGGTGGGTCTGGCCAAAAGAACCAGTTCCCTCTCCCCTAAAGAAAGTCCTCCCAAACCCCTAGACACATCACAAGAGAGACACCTCCATCCTTTCCTATATAGACAACCCTTATCCCCACAATGGCATTTTGAAGCATGTATTTAACAAGTGGGTACCATGAGCTCAGTGGGTAAGAGAGAAGGGATGGGATGATGTTTTGTGAAGCCTCTAGACTTGGGAGGCATCCTCAGATCCCCCCTCTCCCCCGACTCCTGGAAAGAGTGATATTTTTGGCTTTTTGTCAGGTCATAACCCAGAGTTAGAATAAATATGCAGCTGCCCTTTGAGACTAGCGACATCTATGCTGTAACTGGTTATAGGGGAACAATGACACAGCACAGTGGCTGCTCACTGTGAGCTGAGGTCATCATGCCTCAAGGAGGGATGAGTGAACTGTGATGTCCCGTCTGATTGGCTGCTTCGAGAGCTGGACATCCAGGTGCCGAGAGAGTCCTGGAGAGGTTTAGTCCATGAAGAAAAGATAAGACATTTAAGCTTCCAAATAAGCTTTTTTTGTTTTGTTTTGTTTTGTTTTTTTTCAAGTTTCCATTAGCAAAAATCAGAGAGATTAAAAAGAAAAAATCTAGCACTGGCAAGAAGGTGAGGCTCAAGGGGTATACTGTGACTTATCATCAAGGACTTTATTCTCTTGGCCACTTTGCAGTCATGCTAGAAGTTTCCAGAATCCCTAGTGCATATGATGTGCGAGAGTCAAAAAGGTAAGAAAAGAAAACTCCTCCCTTGAGAGTGAAGTCTAGAGAGATGCAGGCCAGAAAGGTGTAAGGTGTGAATCCATAGTCTGCCGCCACTAAGGCCGTTGGTACCGGCTCAAAGGATCTCAATGGTCCTAAGAAGAACCAAAACCAACCGACAGTTCTGGGAGGAAGTGTGACGCACGGAATAGCAGGACTTTTCACACACAAAGGACAAATAAACCAGGAGTTAAGTTTGGCTACCAAACTGCAATTTGGTTTTCTAGGTCAATTTCCCCCAACTATTTAAAAAGAAATATTAGTGCTACACATATGCAACCGTGAGATGTTGGATTCTCTTATCAAGTTGCACTGAGAAGCAAAGTTCTGTAAGCCCCTCATACTGCTGGCCACGGTGGAGACATCCATTTGCTTTTTATCTTTTCCATTGGCAACAGCTGGAAGTTATTCCAATAGTGCTGGAGTCAGCAGCCAGCGCCTTGCTGAGTTCACCTGGCTTCCTTCTTCCTCGTCTTCTACCATCTGGCTAGGACAAGGCATAAGAAATAGACGTATATACTTTAAATATAGTTGAGTGCATGACAGTGGGTATGTGTGTGGGTCTGTGTGTGTGAGGGTGTGTGTACGTGTGCGTGTACATGTATGTACACAGAGGTTTGTAAGCGAGAACTTTCTTCTGCGAGGCAATCCTCCCCGCCTGAAGTCCAGCCCTCTGCCTCATGGCATTTCCTTCCAACACTGGCTGATGCCATGGCAACTCTGGCCTTTATGGTGTTTTGTTGTCTTCATTGTTGTTGTTGTTTACTTTTGTTTTGTTTAGATATGTCTCTTCATATGTAGCGCAAGATGGTCAGACCTGGAGAAACACCTAGAACAATAAACAACAAGTATGTTAGAAAGGTCCAGCTACTTCTGTCGATTTACCCAATGACCCATCTTAAAGACAGGTGGCACCCATGCATTATGGAGGGATGAGGACGTGTGATTGAGGAGTCAGCTAGGGTTAAACCCTAACTCTCCCAGGACTTGTGTGGCTGCCAGGGATGCTCGAAGCATTCTCATAGGCTTGCTTAAAGGATTAAACAAAACGAGTATTAGAATGTCACGTCACACGGAGTAAGATGTCAATGCATATTAACTGTTATGATTACGACTGTAATTATCTAAGATGGAACGAATGTGCAAAACTCACATCATGCTCACATGCTGTAAATACAGTAACGAATAACTGGCCTGCATCATCAGGTAGGAGATAGAGCACTGATGTTTCAACATCCAGATTGCAGTCTCAAGCTTTACAACAAAAGCTTGTACTACCTGTAATTCCCACAGGCTCATAACAAGCACAATACATTCATGTCAAGGCAAAGAATACAGAAGGGCCTTCACAGACTGAGTATATTCTAGTGTATAGGCATTGTGCCAGAGTATCCTCAACACTATGCTAGTGACATCTCCATGGTGAATCAGTCTGTCTGTGTGTGCACATCTGTCTGTTTCTCTGTGTGCTAAAGAGCTGGGCTGAGGCTACATAGGTGGGAGGAGAGGAATAGAGACCAGGGCTGAGTCTTTTGGACTAACACTTGATGCTTAAGTTCTATAATGGAGCACCTTCCTCGGCAGATGTTATGGTCATCTTTCTTCCTCGTTACTGGTAGTAGACACATGATAGTCTCTTGGGTAGAAACCCTTTTACGTTCTCAGTAGTATAAAGCTGACCTCCCTTCAAAGGTGAAAGCTATGGTGGCTGTGATTGCTAAGCAACAGTCACATGACCCACAGAAGCCAAAGAGAGGCAGTTATGAGCTGCAGAAATTACCGGAAGAGAGACATGCTTCTACTGGGAATACTAAATTGGTGTGGGATGAGCTTGGGGCTACTAGTGCCTATATTGCAGCTGTGGGAAAGCCTGCTGGAGAAGGAAGTGGGCAGAGAAAGGGGTGAAAGGGAGAAACAATTTTGATGGTATCTGAGAACCTGGGTTCAGCCAGCTTTAAAGACAAACCGAATTCCATTTGTGACAGTTATCTGTGAATAAATAACCTTTTACACTAACAGCAGTCTAAGGCAGGGTTCTGTATCTCATCACTAATGTAATATTTCCACGTTCCAACAGTGTGCAATCTTGAGTTCTGGCTGGAGTACCAGTTATGCGCATGTAAAGCAACCTCCACGCTTGACCCTCTCTCCTTTTTTTTCCTTATGCCAGCCCTTGCCTTGCCTATGAAAGCATCCCTAGGTATCCCTGTAGTCTGAGATAGCCCCATGACTCAGAACCCTTGCTCAGACATTAGCAAGCCACCCATTCAGGTTTGCAGAATTTCCTGTCCAAAGCAAGACTTCCTTGTGTTTGTTCTTTCTTAAAACAAACAAACCACAAACCCACCCTGTCCCCTGACCCCAAGAGTCTCCACACCCTCTGTTTGTGCCCATTCCTTAAATAGGTACACACGCACAACAGAACCTAAGGAGATGACAATAAATAAGACAAAAAGACAATGAAAAACTTGTGGAATGGGAAAATTACAGCCGAAAACAATCTAACCCAACAATGCCTGAATAACAATCCTATCCCTACTAGCTTATTTTAGGCCCTAACTTGGAGTGAACAAGCTATCTGGACAATCCCTCTGAACTAACTCTGAAACAGATTTGATCTATTGTAAAATAGTGACACAGATAAATAGTCTTCAGGGAATTAATTCAGTTTCTAACCTGCACAATTCCTTTCTGTTGTGGGGCCCACTGTCTCTCCCTTCTTCCTTCAACTCTCCCTGGCCGCCCGCCTTTCTCTGCTTTTTTCTAGCATCTAGAGGATGCCCATACCATTTCTAGAGACTCTAAGCTTCCATCATCAAGGCAGAGTCCTTAAAAATGGAAGAGGGGATTGAAAGAAGGCAGCTCTGAAGATAGAGGATTGGAGTCTCAAGCAATGAGTATGAGCAGCTTCTAGAGCCTGACAAAAGGCAAGAAATAGACTCCTCCCTAACAGCTCTAGGATAGAATGCAGGCTGCCAGAACCTTGACCATAGCCCAGCAAGATAGACTTAGGTTGAACTTGGAAGCTATAGATTGGCAAGAGAGTGATTTTGTAGTGTAAATGAACACTAAACACGAGACCTCTGTGGTCACAGGTTGCCACAACAACCAGAACATCAACCGAGAGGATCAGTGGTTATGGGGGAATTAGGACCTGATAGAAAACAATAGAGCAGCTTCTTGGAATCCTGTCTGCCTCCAGGGTATGTGGGCATTTGAACTGGTGAGACAAGGAGGGGCCTTGGCAGAGGGTCAAGCCTCTTTGCTTTCCTTCTCAGAACCTGGGAATGTAACCCTGGTGTAGAACATTATACAGTCACATGTGTTCAGCTTTTCCTCTGCTTCTACTGTGGCAGGATATCTAGCCATATATGTTCATATGTTCAACTATCTACCCTTATCCTTCAACCTTATTCAGGAAAAAAGCCAAGCCCTTTAGCCTGCTATGAAATACAACTGCGTGCCAACTGACCCAAACAAGCATCTTAATTTGCTCAAATTCCAGGAACTGTTTGATATTTAGACTTAGACCAGATTCCCTACCATTAACGTTTCCACTCAAATTTAATATACCAGGTTAGGTACTTAGTCAAGATTAATGTATATTTATCAATTTATACTTACTGAGTTCTTCATAGAAATAGGAAAGAGAATTAGATAAACTGGGCATCTAGAAGTGCAGAATCCAATCATTTTAAGGGTCCTATACCCCAAGAAGTATTCATAATGACACAACAGCCTAATGACTATACATAACACGGTCTTTATTGATTGAAATTGGTACATTATGGAGGACTAGTCTAAACCTACAATTACTCTCTTGCTTATGGTCAGGATGCTCTGAAGTGAAATGTGTGTTAAGCCAACTACAACCCTCCAGGGAACTAGGAGGCTGAGACCCAGCTAACACTTTTTCTCACTTAAAGGTGTACTGCTATAAATACTAAAACATCCCCTCCCAGCTCTCCAAGACCTTTCATGACCACCTTGATAACAGTCCCACCTGGATTCTAATAGCCTGCTGGGAGAAGTGCTATTCTGCCTTTTCCCCCGTAGAAGAACTGGAACCCTGTTTACCACCATCTGTAGCCTTATGCTCTCCTGGCTGTGACACTCTGGCGTGGATTACTTGCAGGGCTACAGTAGGTTCTGTCTGATGATAAGGAAGTGGTATAGTCACCTCACTGGTTTTTCCTCCAGCCTGAACCGGAAGCCTGAGGTTATGAGACTCAGTGTCTTCAGGGGCCAGGCAGGGGAAAGTATGGAAGTGCACCGAGCCAAGGATGTTACATAGAACACTCCTAGACTGGCTCTTTCCCCTTACGATACGACATTAAATATGAAGACATGGTGGCCCCTGTGAGAGGAAATGACACAGAAAGTAGGATCATACTAGACAGCAAATGACTTGCTTTCATGTTGGACAGGCAACAGGGAATGGTAGGGACAGTAGAAAAGCCATCATCACAACACGTGACAGCTATTCAGCTCCAGTCTATGACAGCCATGGGCCTATGATGGTCAGGTACAACTGTTCTAGATAAAAACTACACTCAACAATTTCAAGCAGGAAGCAAAGGAAACAAATAAATATAATTACTTCATGTATCTTTAAAACTCACACAGACAAATAAAAGCGTACATTATACATGGTATGTGTTCAAGAAAGGGGAAGTTAAACCTCATTTAGCCTCTATAGAAAGGGGGCTGACTGCTCAGTCTGAGGCAGGCAGCAGTGTACTCACACACACTGTGACGCCACCAGCACACAGGCCCCTGCTACCAGCTGTAGACAGCCTCAGTTCCCAAAGGTCAAAGTCTCCTAAGGAATGGCAGCTCCCCATCACTGCAGCCCTTGTTTTGGGGCCTCACGACAGCTCCCAGACCTGTTTATTCTTAGCACCCCAGACAGTGACATGAGAGCTACTGCCTGTCATGAGACACTAGCGAGTTCCAGCCCTCACTCCTGATACTGAAAATGCACTCCTGACCTAGGGGCATGGGACTCTGGCCTACTCAAACTTCCCTAGGTATCACAGCACAGAATTTGTGCCATCCATATAGCAACTTCCATCTCCAAAGACCATGGTGTTATTTTGATGAGGAAAACAAAGCAAATGACTAACCAGATTACCCATCACTGCTGTTTCCTCCACACCCAAGACGCTTGGAATATTTTTCCACATCAGTCACTTGAGTGGGTGACTGACTGCTAATGTGTCGGCTGCTCCAAGTCAGGAATTCTTCAGGGGGTTGACTTAGCAATCTCCTCATAAGTGCTCACAATCTAGTTCTAAGCACTAGGACAACCCACAACGCCACGCTCTCCAAGTCACAACCTCAACACCCTTCAGAGATAGGGTGGATTGTGTGGGTACCTCATCTTGATCCCAGTTAATAACAGGGGGAAGCTCTTCTTCGTAGGCTTGTGGGCAGAGCCAACACCTATAGGCTTCTTCATTAGCCAGGGCTGAGGAGTACTGACCAGGGGTCATGTGAGATAGAGGTTAAGGATGGTGTCAAACACAGCGACACTGACGAGGACACGCCGAGGAATAAAGCCTACTGCATTGCAGAGGCCTTCTAGGGAATGGAATGGGTGTGGAACAAGGGCTGTGTTCCTGGGTAGCAGACACAGCTCTCCAGGCACTGGAGGACAATAGTTGCTAGAGGCACACTTCCTCAGGCCTGGGGGGGGGGTGTTATCTCTGCACTCCAGGAGGCGTGGGGTCTTTATTTAGTTCTCATAGGATGAAGATAAGAGGGAAATATCCTCTTCAGGAAGAATGGGGGAAGAAAAACAGAAGTGTTCTTTATAAGCATCTCAAAAGAACACCAGGCCAACTTGGCAGAACATGGACTTAGCCATCCCTGCTCTACTCTCCAAGCAAGCACACCCTCAGAGGAAGGGCCTGGCCAGTGGGAGATGCAGGTGTGGAGTACAGGGACTGGGAGAGCCAGGAAGTGAGAGAGATCTCATTTCCTCCCAAGGGTGGCCAGGCCTCTGTGGACATCCTGCTACCCCCCCCCCCCCAATCCTGCAAGCTGCTGTCCAAGCCGGGGAACCCTGAGGCTTTCAGGGGCTTTTATTGTATTAGAAGCATTTTTCTCAACATAACTGAGACCTTTAGTATTGCATTAAAAAGATGGTTAATTTTCTTAAGCTTCCCTTTAAACACAGAAATAGGATTAGAAGGATAACATGCTCAGATGCAAGCCCATTATTTGATTATGTCTAAACCTAATCCTGCCTTCACCTTGGCCTGCAGAGTCTCCATTTTGGGGTTTATCGGCTGATAATGCCAGGACTGTCAGATGCTATTACTCGGCTACTATCTGTTGCTACGGGATCCTTCCACTATCAAATGCTGAAGGTTTGAAATTAAATTACAGAGTGAGTTTGCAGAGTATTGCCATTTTTGGACCCTTGAGCATATCTTCATCGAGGAAGGAATAGTCCAGATGCCCCAAGAACAGGCCCTTCCTTTAGTAAACTCATTTCCAATAATGCATTAGAAAAAAAAAAAAAGTCTTAGAAATAAGCCTGCCTCCCATTAATCAATTTTTTTTTCTTCTCTTCACTGTGAGAGATGAGGAAAGGTGGTATGGACAACAATAAAAAGATCAGAATAGGCGGCTACAATGAGATATTCTATTACCATTTCCTGTATACTGTAGTTTTCTGCCTTATTTACCTGTGTGAGGAGCAATGTCTGACGTCTTGTTTGTACCCAGTGACCAGCACTGGTTCAAGGCCAGTGCTGAGTAAATACTGTTCAACCAAATCAAAAACCTGAATTTATACGTGAAAGAATAAAGCATCTTCTCGATTTTTTTTTTTAAGCAATAGAGAAGTAGAAGGTATTGCTAGGAGCTGGGCATGAGACAGGCTTGTGACTAGTGCCACATCATATGCGTGGACCAACCTCCACCACACTGCACTGGAGCTGGGTATGAACCAGGCCTGTGGCTAGTCCCAGAGTATGTGTGGACCAGCCTCCAACCTACCGCACAGTCTCCCTCCTTAGTCCAACAGCTTCTATGTTGCCTTACCTGTCACAGTGGTTGCACTTAAAGGGCTTTGCACCTGTGTGTTTCCTGTAGTGCCTTGTGAGCTCATCGCTCCGTGCAAAACGCCACTCACATCCTTCCCATGAGCACTTGTAAGGCTTCTCACCTGCAAAAGACACAGAAGGACCATGGTCAGCAAGGAAGGCTCTCACACCTGGCCTGCTCAGGTTCTGCTGCCTGGTAATGTCTTAGAAAATGGCCTCTCAGGTCATTAAGTAGTCTGTGTGTTCCCTAATAGAGCATGCGAGCATGCCTCTTTTTTTTTTTTTTTTTTTTTTTTTTAAGCCTCCTGGTGGTGTGTTTTCTTTTGTTTCTTTCCTTTTTTTAACCTTCAAAAATGGCTTTACAAGATCTTCAGTGCTGGGGCTGTCATTTCAGTTCCCAGAGTCAGGGCATTTCCTTCAACTGGTGAGGAATCAATTTTTATTTATTTTCTATTCCCCGGAGCACTCTGAGCCCCATGGTCCGAGCAGAAAGGAAATGTGCTATTTTCATCTGAACCACAAATGCTTCTAATTCTATTTTTCTCAAGAACCTACAGTAATTTACCATTTCAGTCTTCTTTGTCTCTCCTTCCCCTCCTCTTCCATCACAAACCATAGCCAGAGAGAAACAACACCTTAGCCTCCCAGAACCAGTGTGACTGGATGGACAGAAGGCAGGACCATCAACTGAGAGAAAGACAAAAAACACTTCCCAATTCCTGGCATTCAGGGACCTCCCAGAGGTCCTACTTAAGAGGTTCCCATGACTCAGTGGTTCTTCTAGAGTGTTCATACTGGGTCACAATATACATAACCCCAAAATATTTTAGAAGTCCATTTGTAGAGCAGGTTTTAGCTGCAGAGAAGCTGCTGAGAAACATGAATTCGGAGAGCTGGTGCTCAAGTGACCTTTTCACAGAGTAAATACAGATGGAGGAATATGTAAGAAAATGTGCATGACGTGACATTGCCTGGGGCCTTTTTTTTTTTTTTTTTTTTTTTTTTAACCCATCACATTTGTCATCAAATAGGACAAATATTTATCCTTCTAACTATACAGTGAGCTGGTCCTCATTAAGTAGAAAAATAATGTTTAAAGCCCCAAATGAAATCATGACATTGGAGCCCTGTCACTGACAAGCAGGTGAGCACAATGATTTAGGGTCCAAAGTCAACCTTCCTGGGGTCCCACGTCTGACCACAGGCAAGGCTGATTAATTTTGAATGGCTGTATAACCTGAGGCAAGTTAACAAAGTTCTCTGGGCTCCTGTTTTCTCAGAGATAACAATAGGTTTGTAAAAATTAACAACATGGCTTATATATTACATATTAATTAGAACAGCAGCGGCACATGGGAGACTCATATTATTGAAAAATACACAATTGGAGGGCCAGGGAGATGGCTCACTCAAGTGCCTGATGTATAAGCATAAACACACGAATAAGCTTCCCCGACACCCATGTAAAAGAGTTTGTTACAGCTGTGCACACCTGGAATCCTGGCACTAGAGAGTAAGACAAGCCAGTCAGCTGTTTAGCTTAGCCAAGCCAGTGAGGTCCAGATTCAGAGAGAGATCCTATCTCAAAAACCAAAGTGGAGAGCAACTGAAGAAAACACCTGATGCTGACATCTGGCCTCTACATTCATGAACATACATTTGCACGTGCATCTGCACGCACACACAGATGCAGCCACAAGAGCACTGCATAACACACACACACACACACAGAGTTTTAGGCTACCTATGCAAAGTACAATGGATGCACCCATCTTTCTGCACGTCTCCCATCATACAATATTTAAGAAAACATTACCCAGTTACAGCACTTAGTTTTTTCTTTCCATCTTTTCCTCCCTTTGACATTGACTATAAAAGCTCTCACAATTCTCCATTTGTATCAACCTGAATAAAATCAAACATGCTTGAAGTTCTTTTTTGTTTTGTGTTTGTTTGTTTTATGTGACAAGGTTTATTTATTTACTTACTTATTATTATTATTATTTTTTTATGTAGCCCTGACTGTCCTTGAACTCACTCTGTATACCAGGCTGTCCTTGAACTCAGAGATGCACCTGCCTCTACCTCCTGAGTGCTGGGATTAAAGGTGTGTGCCACCACCACCCAGTCATGCTTGAAATTGTTATTTCATTAAATTGGTGCCCCCTGAACTCACTGACCTGCAAGACCCAATAAGAAAGAGGAGTAAGACATGAATGCCTTTCAGAGGGAACCAAGAATACATGGAGTATTGGGAGTATAGGAGGAAAGAGGAGATATATATATATATAGATAGATAGATAGATAGATAGATATAGATATAGATAGATAGATATAGATATAGATATATATAGAGAGAAAACCAAACAGTGCTGGGTTTACCTGATTGCTACCTCCTGGATATGAAACCCTGGATAGGATATTCCCTGCTGGGGAGAAGAGTGAGGATGTCCTGAGCCTAAACACAGGACTCAGAGGCCAGAGTTGCAGAAAAGACATATGGAGTTGGGAATATGCCTTCTCATTCAGGAGCAGGGAACTTAGGCTGCTGTACGTCCACATTCTGGGCCCAGATCCTTAAACTGATCTGTACTGGTGGGGCAGGTCTGTAAAATTCTTGTTAGCATTTTCACCATGGTCAGTGTGGTTCACGTAGATCCGCAACACCCCACCAGATCTGAGGTGTGGGCCCACTGAAACCCAAAAGGCATGAATTCTTATCCTACTAGTTCACCCATGGGAGATTTTGCGCACTTCATGAAAGGGTTCGTCTTCTTTCTGTAGAGGGAATTTCCCTGTGTGTGGGGGGGTGGGGGGGTGGGGTGGGAGGGGGAAGTCAGGGAAGAGAGAAAGAGAGAAGTGGGGGCAGATGGGAGAAGGCAGGTAAGTGGAGAGAGCAAATAAAAGAGGGAGGAAGAGAGTAAGGAAGAGAATGGGATAGCACAACATGACGGAGCGGAGAGGGAGAAGAGGATGGAGTGGAAAGAAAAGGAAGAAGGAAGAGGAAGGAGGAGGACAGATGGGAGGGATAGTGGCAGCTGCTCAACTGTGAGTGGACTAAGTAAGATGTAACTCAGTTCTCCCCACTGGACCTTCTCCTTCACCCTGACTTCCTTCTTGTCTACACCAGATGCTCCTCCAGGGTATAAAAATGAAGCACGGGACAGGTGACATCTAGAACGGCTATGCCATTCATCCCAATGCACCCCCAAGAGTGAACAAAAACATCTAGGAGAGGGCATTTGAGACAGGCAGATTAAGAGACATCTAAAGCATTAGGTCCAGAGTGCCGAGTGGATCACAGAGTAGATGCAGGTGCACACATCACAGAGGTGGCTTTGCATGGCCAGCTCCCAGCTCGGGAAGGAGAGCACCCTTCAGAGCCTCCAGATTTCAGGTTGAATATCAAGAACCACTTTGCTTCCCTGGCAATCACCTCAAGAAACTTGTTTCCCTGGGGGAGACATGCCACCTCAGAGGTGATTTACAGCTCCACGAGGGCTCTTCAGAAGAGGTAAGGGTGCTGAGAAACACAACTGACATTTATCAGGGTTGAATTGCAGCAAGAATTCAGGTGCTCCCACAAAACGGAGCTGAAACGCATGGCATTTTCTCTGCTTCTCACAGGGTTACTCTCCCTAAATTGCGATCGCCAGAGCTGATAGCTCAAACAACACCACGGCCATAAATACTTTCTGGCCAGGCACCCTAAATACATGTAGATTTATTCATGAATTATATAAATGTACTAAAGTCCTAGCATGTTAAGATATTGTAAAGCCTATATTCAATAGAGCAATCATTAAAAAGAATGAGGGCAAATTAAATATAAATAAAGTCATACATTATTCTTCTTGCACTCAAAAAGATTGTAAATTAAATATAAATAGAAGTCATACATTTTTCTCCCATGCACTCAAAAAGACGGAGTTGCACAGCCCAGCTTCTGAGATCAGGGTCCTGGAAGGTAAAAGGCAAGCAGCTGCTCTAGCCCCAAGCTACTGGTTTGCTTCCATTCTTGGCCCTTACAGTGTAATTCTTCTTCAAGCAGGCACAGAAGCCTTTGAAAATTCAGATCACAGCATGTGTCTCTTTTAGGGCACCTTGACATATTATATATCCATCCAGTTGGCTTCTTTGATATTCCATGGATTTTGTTTAAAGCATCTGAAAACATTATTCTGAGGGCTGGGGAGATGGCTCAGTAGGTATAGTACTCTTCACAAAAGCATGAAGACTTAAATTTGGAGTCCCAGCACCCACATAAAAAAAAAAAACCCAAGTATTATGTCACACATCTATAAACGCAGAAGTGGGTGGAGACAGGATGCCTGCCTAGCAAAATCAGTGACTTCCAGGTTCAGTGAGAGACTGCCCCAAAGCAAAAGAGGTAGAGACTAACAGGAGATACCCAATATTGAACTTCACATGCATGCACACACATGTGCATGCAAATTCATACACATCTGAACATATGAGCACACTTGCGTGTGCACACTGCCCCCCCCCAACACAACATTTTTCTATGAAAGGTGACAACAGACTACACCAGGCTGCCACAACCAATCCCACCTCAAAAGAATATTAAAATGAAATACAAATGTTTAATAGTTGCCCATCATTCTCAGGGGAAAAAAAAGTCCCAAGTCTACAGAGCCACATAGTATGCAGTTAGCACGACCTGAAGCTTGGCTACCTTTCTCATCTCATCTACCAACCTCCCCTTCCTTGATCTTCTCTCATGCACTTCTACCTCAGGACCTCTGTCTGACCTTGCTTTGCCCTATGCCTGGAACATTCTTGTTCCTTCGTTTAATTTTTCAAAGTAACTCCACCCTCGTTAGCCTCTGTAAAAAAGCAGGTGAATGGTGGTGACACAGTGCACACACTGTAATCTTAGTATGTGGGAGGTGGGGCAGCAGGATGCAGAGTTCAAGGGCAGCTGTGAAATGAGAGACAAAGTGCAGTCTGTCCAACTATCCACAGCACTTACTCACTTTGAAATGAGATGGCATGATGTTGGTGCATGCTTTCTGTCCCCTTCCTCTGCTACACTGACAAGCTTCAGGCAAGCACCTATTTTGTCCATTGCAATGGTAACAGCCCTGAGCATCCTGTAGCA